TTTTTTAAGGTCTGATAGATGAGCATCGGAAGAAGAAAGAAAGTTCGGACACCATGCTAGACCATCTACTCTCCTCACAGCAGTCACAACCTGAGTATATCGAATCATCAAGGGTCTTATTATGGTGAGTTGTTGATTTACGAATATCAGTAATAAATTTCGCAGTTTGAACAGTGCAAAATACCTTGCGAATGTGCCTCGGAAAGTTGACAGGAGTTTCTTCTTCACGATAGGTATCGGGAGCATTCCGTGTCCCAGAAACCAAACATGTGAAGGGCCTAATAAGAGGACAAAATTTGTTGCTTCCATGAACAACATATCTTTCAATCTCCCTTCGATGGCAATTCTTGAACAACATTTTTCAGGAAAGGATAATGGAGGGGGGTGTTTACACCACGGACTTCCCAGTTGTGCCTCACTTCTGCAATATGCAATGTGTGCAGGTATAGGAGCGTGAAGGTGTAGGGGTATAAGATAAATTAACATAGGATATTTTTGGAATAAAAAAAATAATGGAAAGGTGTAGGAAGCACTTGGGATGGTGGAGGGAGCAACTCTCTGAAGAGTTTGGTTGGCATGTGTGAGCTTTCTTTTTGCATCCCCAAATTTTTTCAATTTCCTTAATTGACTTTGAACTTTTTGACTAACATAAAAAAAAAGTCTCTCTCTTTGTATTCATCCCACCCATCCACTCACTTTTTTTCATGCTTTTTCCTAATCCTAGCGTCACACAAACAAGTCTTCCTCTCCCTCACCCTTTGGACCTAAGCACCCCAACACAAGCATACATCCCTCTCCCCACAATGCATCCAACACACACCCCACCTTCAAGCAAGTTGTACCACAAACAACAAACAAGATACTGATTATTATATTTATAAATTTGTAAATGTTTAGTTAAACTAGATGTCGAAATTTGTAGTTGAACATAAGTAGGAAAAAATTGGGATTTAGGGTTATGTGATATCAGAAAGTGATGTAGTACATAATGGGAAGATGGGTTATGTGATATCAGAAAGTGATGTAGTACATAATGGAAAGATTGTAATATTTTGAACTGATAATAAATAAACTAAGATGACATTATATTGATTAACAATAGCATAATCCATGTCTAATATAGTCATCAACTTTTCCATATTAGACTATAATTAATGAAAGAAGTTGTTATAAAAGAAAAAAAAGGTAAGACATAATAAATAAAGTGTAAAGTATAGCAACACGTACCCCCGATTGTGAGTCGATTGGAAAAGACTTCCTTAGTTTTTCTAGTTGATCATAACTTTCTACTAATCTTGCATAACCCTCTTAGCCTTTTAAGAGGCAAAGTGAAATTATTTTGTCGCTCATCTAATAACAGTATAAAGACATTTGAGAAAGTCAACCTTGTTGATGTGACTCAAACTATTTTAAGTAATGGGAACTGATATTTGTTTATTTTGTAGGTGTTATCCATTAAGAAAACAATATTAAATGCATTCAACAATTTTATTTCATCAATATGTGTCCAAAAGATATCATTTACCATCTTAGATTTGTCTGTACATATGCTTCAATGATGTATTTATAACGTTCTAACATCATCATTTGCTGCTGTAATTCAGTTTTCGAACCTCTTAATGATTATTTGTAAGTGTATCTTTCATTATATACTTGCTTGATTGTTATCACATTTTACCTATTATTTATTTTAAAGGAGAATGTTTACAGACTTCACTTGATTCTTAGTCATATCAACAAACAACGAGTGTTCAGTGGATTTTAATCTCCCAGCAAAAGGGTATCCAACTAAAATCTATGATAATTCATGGTTTGATATCTACACATTGCCTTCAATATTCACCAATTTTTATTAGAATTTGGTTTGCCTCTCAATTTAAAAGAACAAACACATTTTCTCATGTTGAATATACTAAGTTGAATATCATATTTGTATTTTCTATACTTTTCACTCTTTTCACATCCTAACAATGTCTTTCTCCCTCATTGACCATTAGCTTTATCAGATCTTATAATGACAACAGTAAAACCAATATCAAAGTAATCATTTAAACCCACATAATTAACTCATAATGCGTGAGAAAAATTTGATCAGTTGTAAAGTTATTTGTGTAATTTTCCTTACACATTTCATTTATAAAAGTAAGAGAAATCTAACATGAAGTTAGAACTTACTTGTGATTTCATAAAACTTAAAAGATAATCTTCCATCTTAGACGGTAAAAACCTACAACATCACATCAACATAGATTACCTCACTTGTTCAATAATAACCAAGATCAAGAAATTCATGAAACAAAAACAACCAAAATAAATTTAAACAGAAAAGCAAAATAAATTTAAAAAAATTATAAAATACTACTGGAAATCTGATTGAAAGCTTAACCAAATTTCGAAATCCAAGAGAAAGCTTAATCAAATTTCGAAATATGGGAGAAAACTTAACTGGATTTTGAAATCTAGGGAGAAAGCTTAACTGGATTTTGAAATCTAGGAGAAAGCTTAACTGAATTTTAAAGTTTTGTGACTTACTAAACCAAATTTCAAAATCTAATGAGTTTCCTAAACCATATTTCAAAATTGGTAAGATTTTAAACCAAATTTTAAAATTCGGTGAGTTTCTAAATCCATTATGTTTATTAACCTGATTGAAAGCTTAACAAAATTTCGAAATCCAAGAGAAAGCTTAATCAAATTTCGAAATATGGGAGAAAGCTTAACTGGATTTCGAAATATAGGGAGAAAACTTAACTGGATTTTGAAATCTAGGAGAAAGCTTAACTGAATTTTAAAGTTTGGTGACTTACTAAACCAAATTTCAAAATGTAAAGAGTTTCCTAAATCATATTTCAAAATTGGTAAGATTTTAAACCAAATTTTAAATTTTGGTGAGTTTCTAAATCCATTGAGTTTATTAACCTAATTTCAAAATTAGGTGCTACTTTGAATCATATTTCAAAATTTAGTGCATCTCTAAATTGAATTTCGAAATTTAATTATTACAAAACTATTCAACCCACGTTTTTCAAAATTCGGTGAATACTTTTATAGATTAGATTTTGAAATCTAATCCAAAATATAATAAAAATGAATATTAAATTTTCATTCTAAAACAAAAGTATATGCTAGAAAACCGAGATGAATATGTATATTTGTTTCAAATGATGAAAAGAAAATGAAAAAAGTTTGATGAACAAAAATGAAGAAAGTTGTTCAAAGAAGAGAACAAGTTGAATGATTTTGGAAAAAGAAAAGAAGAAAGTTGAAGTTGAAAAAGAGAAAAAAGAGCTTGCTCCGGAGTATAAAAATGATTTGAAAATGCAATGTGTCATTAAATATACTATTTCACATAATAAATACATTTAAAAAATAATAATTATTGCTTGTCTAATTAATTTAATATTTTATATATATTTTGAAGGGTGATATTTCACATCACAATAATTTATAATTACAAGAAGAAAACTTAGAGGTGCAGTAAGAAGGTCCCGGACATGTCCGTTCAGGCCCATTATTGAAGCTTAAGGCTAACGTAACTTAGATGAACATTATTTTTTCACATAATATGAACTCCAACCAATATTTTGAGATGATCTGCAAAAAAATATTCTTCCTTTGTGTCTATACTAATTGTATTTTAAACATATTTATTACAGTAATTATATATTTTTAAAAGCAAACAGTGTTGCTGTTTATATATTAATTTAAGATTAGAAAAAAAAATTGGCTTTGTTTAGAGTAGAGTATTCGCCTTTGGATGAACTTTTTTCAGTAATTGGTTTTAGAAAGAAAAAAAATGGTTTGGATAAAATGTTTCACTAATATTTATTTTGAAAAATAAATGAACAGCCTTTTTGTGTCATGAAAACTATCTTGCTTTCAGAAAGTACAAAAACCTAGTAATTTCAGGATTCACAACATCAATTAAAATTGATTCAATGCAGCTTAATCTATAAATAAAAGCACATATCTTTATAAGGATTTGAATTATGATGTCATTATGACAATATGGATTTTGACCTTAAACTCCAAAGACCTAAGTCCAATTAATGACTATTATAGGATGCTATAAACACCATTACTCATTGCACAGAAAACTACTATTACACTTAGGTCAATGACATAATAAGCATAAATTCTTGAATCACTCTAAAAAAAAACGTACATGAATGAATTTCAAAATAATTAATTCAATTTTTTTGTATTAAAAAAGTTCCTACTTTTTAAATCTTATGTAATTATATTTCAAATTATCTGTGAAATTTTCTTGAAAATTCCCTTTCATTCCAAATCTTAATTGTTTAGACTCTTAAATTACTTTTTAAAATTTTTTTAAGTGATTTTTAAAATGCATATCAACCTCATAAGGTCAAACACTCCTTCTATAAAACTTTTCAGTTGATATTTTAAAATTTTCTAAATTGAAAAGATATGTTGCATGAATTTTCTATTAATTTATTTACTTACTACTACTTTACCCTTATTTACAGAAAAACCAGTAATTTAACCCATATTAGATATTCCAGCCCTTCCTCCACACTGCAAAATGCCTACTTTTTATTTAAGAACAAGATAAAGGTCCTAACTAACCTGAACCTTATCAAAGCAAAGTACAACAAAATCAAGCTTAAAATTTATTATTTAAGTAAGTGAAGTGGATTATATGTTTAGTTTATTATTTTAGTTATTATTAAATTATTTATTAATATTTAGTTTCACACTCAAAATTAATAATAAAAGTTGTATATTCACTAAAAATAAAAATAATTTATAATATATAAATAAATATAAATTTCATCTTACAAATTTTATAAGCTAACTTTTTATAATTAAATTAAGTTTAAAATTTATTTTTTAATACTGAACAATGTACAATTTATAAGTATCCTAGGTGTCCAAAATAGAGGTTACAAATGACAGTATTACCAAAATATTATTTGGAAACTGAATAATATAAGAAAAATACGTATATATTAAACAACTGGGACTCTACATGAATTCACAGATTGTGACTTCTTCACTTGGTAAAACAAACAAAAGAACTATTATAGTATCCAACTCAGTACAAAATACAATAAAGCTTCATCACAGTTATATGGAAAAACCTCTGGAGTGGTTTATTCTAGCTTGTAGAGGATAGTATTTTTGTTTATCGCCTCAAAGTAAGCAGAATATACTCCGCGTAAAGATCCCTGCAACACATCAGAGACAAAGTATAGTAATAGAGAAGAGAAATGAAATGATGTAGATTTCAGTACAGTATTTATGTTACATAAACACAGAAATCAGATAAACATGGTTGAGTAACTGATCTATAAGGTATACAATATTTTGTTATTGGAGACCATGAATTATGCCTCAAAACCAATTTTAACTAGAAATTAGAGTTAAAGAAAATCAAACCAGGTGCTCTAAAGATACTGACATTGAGAATTGGATGGCTTCAACAGCAGTAGATGCAGGTAAAAAGTCATTAACTGCTACCTCCTTGTTCTCATTCTTCTTGTCTTTAACAATATGTTAAGAAATGCACTTAATACTTTTATGGAAATGCACATAATTTTCTGCTTTAACCTTTTAATTTCAAAAAGGTCATATTCCTTTCGGTGGTCTCAGATTTATGAAGGAAAAACTGAATGGAACTGTTTTATTAGTTAAAGAATGAAAAGATGAAGTAAAGGTAGAAGTAAATGTTGTCTTGGAATAAGATTTTTTAAGGATACAATCTTCAAAGAAACGTCTAATCTCAGAGAGGCGATGAGGTGCAAGTTCTTTCAAGTCAGTGTAGTGTTTATACTCAGGATCATCAGCACACACAGCAATAATTTTATCATCCTTCTCCCCCTGTAATTGGATCAACCTTTTATTCTTCAAATGGTTGAAACAAAATAGCCTCTGTTTTATCAATCAAAAGGCCAAAAAATTATACCTGATCAATCATAGGCATGAGTCCAATGGCCCTGGCTCTTAGGAAACAACCAGGAAGAACTGGCTCCTACCATGTCAGTCATTCAGTAAGTTTTCCAATCAAAAACCTTGTTGCTATATATATATATATAACTCAAACATTATCATCAAACTAAGTACTATATCTAAGAACATAATATATATGGCTAAAGCAGCATTTGAGTTTCTGACATCTTTTGAAAAACGTGATATTAAGCCTTCTTGTATAAGTTGGATGAGTTTAAAATGATATGAATTTACCTGCATGAGAACCAAGACATCAAGTGGATCATTGTCTTCACATAGAGTTCTTGGGATGAAACCGTAGTTATGAGGATAAACAACTGATGAGTACAATATTCGATCAACCTGATAATTATTTAGATGGTGAGAATAAGAAGATACAGCAGAAAAAAATGCTCATAAAAATATCATCTTGAAGAGATTTCTCTGTAAAATCCTTTTCAGATCACAACACCACATACTCCCATTTCAAAGCCAAAAAAGAAATCGATTCATACCTTGATTAATCCAGTTTTTTTGTCAAGTTCGTATTTGACCTTGCTTCCTTTAGTGATCTCCACAACCTATAAATACAAACTAAACTAGTAAGCATTGAACATGCATCAACAACATATATAGCAGGAAATTTCTACTCAAGAATGTGTTAGGTTTATTGAGAGAAGAGATTCACCGTAAAGACACAACACCTTGAATTCAGTCAGGTAAAAAATTGACATCATTCTCTCTGTCTAAAACCTTAAGACAATTTGTTAATAGATTTTCACCTTTATATAATGCTTCACTTTTTCATTTTTACTAATATAGAACTTAGACTCACACTTAATTTCCAACCTAACAGAGCGATAGCTTTTCATGAATATTATCATTGGAAAACATAAACCAATGCAGATTTCAAAAATGTTATAATGCAGAAATAGATCAATCATTTAAGAGTGTAAAGGTGTTAAGAGTTACAGGATTTATAGTAATCAATGTGGTGTTTATAAATCAATAAAATAATTCAGAATTATGGACATTCTTCTCCAGTATCAGAACTTACACAATTAAAAATCATAGGTGCCCCAGGTCCTGCAAAAGAAACCTAAGAACATAAACTACTTTTCTTCTGTGGTGTAATATAATATAACATCAAACCAAACCAATCCTTGAACAAGATACCAATTTCAAGATCATGCCAAGGGTGAGCAGCAACTGATCTCCTAGACAAAGATGACAGAATACTTTCATTTAATTTAGGAGTTTGACGAGTTTCACGAACTTCTTCACCATTCTCCTCAGTACTCATCTTCAAAGTCTAAACACAGCAAAGTCATGTTCATATACAATCTTAATATTCCACCAGAAATTGCTCTATTTCTAGTGTTACAAGTTACATAACATTAACAATAAGTTGCAATAGAAACTAAGCATCTGCATACTTTATTGAAAATATGAATCTACCCTAAATGGTCATGACATGAAACTCAGAAAAGAAGCATGATATCTTAATGCACATTAACAAAATAAATGATATATTATANTTTCGAAATTTAATTATTACAAAACTATTCAACCCACGTTTTTCAAAATTCGGTGAATACTTTTATAGATTAGATTTTGAAATCTAATCCAAAATATAATAAAAATGAATATTAAATTTTCATTCTAAAACAAAAGTATATGCTAGAAAACCGAGATGAATATGTATATTTGTTTCAAATGATGAAAAGAAAATGAAAAAAGTTTGATGAACAAAAATGAAGAAAGTTGTTCAAAGAAGAGAACAAGTTGAATGATTTTGGAAAAAGAAAAGAAGAAAGTTGAAGTTGAAAAAGAGAAAAAAGAGCTTGCTCCGGAGTATAAAAATGATTTGAAAATGCAATGTGTCATTAAATATACTATTTCACATAATAAATACATTTAAAAAATAATAATTATTGCTTGTCTAATTAATTTAATATTTTATATATATTTTGAAGGGTGATATTTCACATCACAATAATTTATAATTACAAGAAGAAAACTTAGAGGTGCAGTAAGAAGGTCCCGGACATGACCGTTCAGGCCCATTATTGAAGCTTAAGGCTAACGTAACTTAGATGAACATTATTTTTACACATAATATGAACTCCAACCAATATTTTGAGATGATCTGCAAAAAAATATTCTTCCTTTGTGTCTATACTAATTGTATTTTAAACATATTTATTACAGTAATTATATATTTTTAAAAGCAAACAGTGTTGCTGTTTATATATTAATTTAAGATTAGAAAAAAAAAATTGGCTTTGTTTAGATTAGAGTATTCGCCTTTGGATGAACTTTTTTCAGTAATTGGTTTTAGAAAGAAAAAAAAATGGTTTGGATAAAATGTTTCACTAATATTTATTTTGAAAAATAAATGAACAGCCTTTTTGTGTCATGAAAACTATCTTGCTTTCAGAAAGTACAAAAACCTAGTAATTTCAGGATTCACAACATCAATTAAAATTGATTCAATGCAGCTTAATCTATAAATAAAAGCACATATCTTTATAAGGATTTGAATTATGATGTCATTATGACAATATGGATTTTGACCTTAAACTCCAAAGACCTAAGTCCAATTAATGACTATTATAGGATGCTATAAACACCATTACTCATTGCACAGAAAACTACTATTACACTTAGGTCAATGACATAATAAGCATAAATTCTTGAATCACTCTANCCTAATAAATTTCTTGGTCCTTGCAAGGACGTGGTAAAACAATTAAATTGCATATATGTTTAGTGATAATCATTTATTCTTGTTAATTGAATTTGAACAATAATAATTTTTTTACTTAGTAAGTAATATTCAATTATATTTCTTTCACCATTTTAAATATGAAATGATTGAAGAGATAAGATTAACAAAATAAATATATTTGAACTAAGACATGCATTTTTATTGACATGATGTAATAAAGTTAATTTAAATTTAGGTTAAGTAAAACTACAATATTTTGAAATTTAGTTCACTAAAAAAGAAAATATTTTAAGAAGAGAATAATAACAAAAACTCATTATTACTATTAATTAATGTAAGTCATATATATATATATATATATATATGTGTGTGTGTGTGTGTAACTTTTTTATTTTATTTATTACGATCATGTATTTATTTGAATGTATTAATATTATTAAAAAATCATTATTTATGTTGCATTAACAATATATTTATGTAGTTATTTGTTAGTTATCAAATTAATTATAATTGGATTAAATATTTGTAGTCCTAATTATCTTTTTTGTTTCTTAAAATCCAAATAATTTTTATTGAAAAACATTTTACAACTGAATAATAAATAACTTTTCGACCCAAACAATTACAGGAAATCATGATTTTAAAAATATGAAACTATACTTTTATTTATCCTAATTTATAATAATATGTATGCTAATTTTCAGTGCATTTATTAATTGAAATTGAAAGAGGTTCTTAAAAAAATTAAACAGTCTGTCAAACTAGATAATATATAATTTGATTAAGAGGAAATAAATTATAAACCAATTCCCAAAGTTCTCTAAAATTTCTAACTAATAACTAACCCAGGCAGTTAAAATTCAGAAACAGAAATCAAGTTATTAATGTCAAATAAATATAAATTAAATATTAATTTTATCAGAACATGAATTATCATTTTTTTAAATAATATATAGTAAAAACAGTATCCCGTGTACATAAATTATTTTTCTATTTTAATAAGACACTCACTTACATTAGAAAAAATAACTGGATGTAATTATATTATTTTATATAATAAAAACATTGAATAAACTAATATATATATATATATTTGTATTTATAAAAAATATAAGAAAAATAGAAAGGATGGATCTCTAACCTAAAACTATGAAAACATTAGTAAAATGAAAAACTAAGGTACTCTGCTAGTATATAAAATATAATATTTGAATTTGGTCACACTATTTTCCAATTTAATTTAACATATAGAAAAGGAAAATAATCTGTGGAAACAGATTTTCAAAATTGTTCTTAGTCTGAAAACAAAAAGCAATTTTACATATATAGAAAAATAGAAACAAAATATCAAATCAAATTAACAAACCTGAAATCAAATCTTATATCAGGAGAAAAAGTTGGAAAGAAAAAACAAAAAAAAGGAAGTGTTATAAATAATAAAGAGTTGAGGTTGGTTTTTCCACTGACATTCTCTGATTTCACTGGGCAGCATCATCTTCTCCACCCAAATGTTCAAGTTGGAATCTTTGGAGCGATTTCGAAGTTGGTATGACTCTATATAAGTATTGTGTTAAATAAACAGTTCTGGGTGGTGACGATGATAACCATGGAACCTAGAGTGATAGGGGATTACATAATGGGTCCTCCAATCGGGTCGGGTTCCTTTGCCGTGGTATGGCGTTCAAGGCACCGAGTTTCCGGTTTGGAAGTTGCGATTAAGGAGATTGATCAGAGACAACTCAGTCCTAAAGTCCACGAACATCTTCTCAAAGAGATTTCGATCCTTAGCACCATCAAGCACCCCAACATAGTTCGACTCTTTGAGACAATTCAGGTAAGTTTTGATTTTTTTAGTCAGTTGAGAATTATGCACAAACAAAGATTGAGTCTAATGGAAAAGACAAGTTTCTGAAATGAAGCGACACACTGTTGGGAGAGATGCTCACAATTTGTATGAGAATATTTTGAATAGAATTATCTCTGCATAAAAAATAAAAAAAATAATTTTTTTTTTCTGTAACTTTGTTGTTTGAAAGAATGTGGGATTTACTTGTGTTGAAGATATGTGTATATTTAGTATTGTTCAATATATCGAATAAAACTGAGTTCAAAGTTGGAATATTCTTGTTTTGAAAGAAGAATGAGTGTGTCTTTGTTGTTGTGGTTTAAGACCAATGACAGGATTTACCTTGTTTTGGAGTATTGTGCTGGTGGGGACCTTGCTGCTTACATTCACCGCCATGGCAAAGTTTCTGAAACTATTGCACGCCATCTCATGAGGCAATTGGGTTAGTGAGTGTTTTTCAATCATTTGGTCTTTTCTATACTAATTCTTTCGGGTGCACTATTTTGGCTGCTTGCTAATTCTTTTGTGACATATGTTACTATGGATGATTTCGTTTTGCTTATTAATATAGGTTTTTCCAAATTTTTGTACTTTCTTAATGGTTATGTTTTTTTTTGCTTGTACTAAACTTGGTGATCTGTTTTATCATGCAATTCATTCAATGGTAAGCAATGGGTAAATTTCTATAGTTTATAATCTGGGTGTTCTTGTAGCTGCTGGGTTACAGGTGCTTCAGGAAAAGAACCTCATTCACAGAGATTTAAAACCACAGGTATCTCAGTGTATTTTGTGATGTTGTAGACTTTTCATTGTAGTTACTAATATATGTTTGCCTTGGTGTATTTTAATTTATTGTCACTGTTAATTATTGTATCACTTGCTGGGAACTCTTGTTTTTCCCTTTACCTGTGAGCTTTTAATAATTTTTACATGAGATCATCAATTTATCATAGCTTCATACCTGTAGCGAAAAGTGCACAGTAAATAACAGACGGACAAGTACGTACAAGTAGAGAAGGGAAAACTTTTGAAACTTGTGAAACCACTTAGTTTAGAAATCATATATCGGTATGTAATATGTTACAAATTATAAATCTATATAATTGATTACTTTTGAACTCATAATTGGTTTATGTATTATTGCACACATATCAAATCATTTGTCATGTCTTTATTTTTGTATGCAGAATTTACTATTGGCAACTACTGCAGCCACACCAATTATGAAAATAGGAGATTTTGGTTTTGCAAGGTATGATGGTTTCTCGGATGTTAAACAATGGAAACAAAATTCTTCCCCCTGTTGCTGTTATAATCCGGAACAACTCAATACTTACTTCTTTTTTTCCTTTTCTGATGTTTTATTTATTGCTCATTGTGGAATATAGTTGATTGTTGTAGACATTGATAAATTGATTAACTTGACCCTTGGCCATCTTTATAAACAATGTATTTGCTTGTAGATGCTTCATCAACTCTGTATAATATCTCTGTTTTAGTTTTATATGTAAATTATTCAAATGGTTTGTCATATTTGGTAATTGTTTTTCTTCAATCTGGTTGAAGCAATAAGGTAAAAAAACATGAATTTCTTGCAAAGGGTAGTTTCCTGATGTATCATTGTTCTAGGTCTCTCACACCCCAGAGTTTGGCTGATACACTATGTGGTTCACCTTATTACATGGCTCCAGAGATTATTGAGAATCAAAAGTACGATGCCAAGGTGACAAAAGATAGAACTGGAATCAAATTCTAATTGCTAACATCTGTTATTGTTTTCTTCATAAAGATATGAATCATATTGTGGATGCAGGCTGATTTATGGAGTGTTGGAGCAATTTTGTATCAACTAGTGATTGGGAGGCCACCATTTGATGGAAATACTCAATATCAGGTTTTGAGAAGGAACAATCAGTATTTCTTTTGGTAAATAGTCATGTGCCTTACTTTTTTTCTTATCATAATTTTTTGTTACAGCTTTTTCAAAATATTTTGGCATCCACTGAACTGTACTTTCCGCCCGAGGCATTACAAGAGCTACATTCTGATTGCTTGGATCTTTGCAGAAACCTCTTACGTCAAAATCCAGGTATTCATTGTAACTTCATGTCATGGACATACATGTATTTTTAATAACAATTGGTTAGAGCTTATTCTAGAAAACTTTAATGTTATGCTGTAATATGCAGATGAGAGATTAACATTCAAGGCATTCTTCAACCACAATTTCCTTCAGAATTCCAGGTCATTATTCTTTAATTTCTTTTTTTGTCTTCAGTTCTTGTATCCTGTTGCATTTCTTTCAATCTCGTAGCTATTTGTAGTGATTTCTTGTCCTTCATAACTTATAGGTCAACCGTAGGAAAATTGACTGTTCATCAATCAGGTGGCTCTCTGTCCGAGATGTCTCCAACTATTGCAAGTGGTAAGATGGGGAAGGCTGTTGATGCTGATACTCATTTGTCATACCCTGTATGCTGTATTCTCATTTTTGCATTGTTTTCTTTACAGTTTCTAATACTTGCTTTTGTATTCAGATTCCCGTTTAATGCAGTCTGTAGAGAAAGACTATGTACTTGTCCATTCCCATTTTGCATCATTGGAGGCTTTTTCTGACTACTTTGATGCATCTGTGCAAGATGATTCCTTATACAGTATTGCTCAAAGTCATTCAAAGATTGCTAAACCGGATATTGGAGTTCCAAAACAAACAACGGATCTGACATCTTCCTCCAGTAGAAGATTAGAGAATCTAGAAAGCAATAAACTTGAGGCATGTGTGGCATCATGTGAATTTACTGCTTTAAGGGAAGAGCATGATATTTCCTCACTGCAACCTTCAAACAGGTTAAAGTTGTTGCATGAGTATGGGAAGATCCTTAAAGAACTTTCGCAACAAAAGGTGAGTTTATGTTCAGTAAACCCAAGGTCATTACATTAATATTTTCAGAGAATATTTTGAAATTTTAAATGAAAAAAAGATAGTTATTAACTTTTTCTCTTGATGGCATGATCCCATATCTAACGATTGAGTTCTATATTCCTTTGAATTTTTCAGTTCTTTTCTCTGTCAGTGTCATATGAATGTTTTATTCTATGCAGCATTACATATCTGAATGATAACCAGCCATGTTTGAATGGATTCTTTTTCATAGTTAATTTGTAATTTTCCTATTGGATTCTATTAGATTGCAAATTGGTTGAATGCTTCTTAGGGTCTATTTGGACGAGCTTGTAAAGAAAAATAAGAAGTAAAAAATGAAATTGACTTCTCTTTATGTTAAAATTATATCATGAATAAACTAATGTGTAGAAATTCTCTCGTAGTTTCTAAAATTTTTTATTTAACTTGTGCTTAAGTTAAATTTAGCTCATGGAAAAACCAATCTTAATGTTCCATAATCAATCTAAATTTTAATGGTGATTTGGTGCAGTATGATACAGGACTGTATCTAGAGTCACTTGCAGTTGAGTTGGTGATTCTGGCGATATGGAAGAAGGCTCTAGAAATCTGTAACTCTTGGATGGCCTCCCTTACTACTAGTGGGTTTCCTGAAAGCAGTTCAACTAACGAATCCATATCTTCAAGTAATGTGGAGTTACCACAGACTTCAGAACTGAAAATAAATTTTAGTGATCCTCCCTCTGTCTCCATGTGGGCAAAACATGAGTTTGTTCTTGCTGTTGATCGTGCTGAAAAACTATCATGTCGTGTTCAAAATATGGATGGTAGGATTTATTTATGTTTCTGAACTTAAAATCCTTTCATGGCTTGTAAAGATATAATAATGTTAACTACCTACTCCCAAAAACATATTGCAGGAGCTGCTGAGATGCCAGATGCAATGGAAATTATATTCCAAAACGCTCTTTCAATCGGGACAAGTGGTGCGGTGAGTAGCCTAATATTCTTCACTTTTAGATTTCCTTCCAAACTTGCAATTTTCCCCAAAGAGCATATACACGTAAAAATGTGATCTTTATAAAATAATCAGCACTTGCCTGAGTAGGTAAATGAATATTTTTTCTTTTTTGCCATTTTTTTAGGTAGATGAATATATGGAGAACAGAGATAGGGCTAGTGCTTCTTACTCAAGAGCGATGCTGCTACTTTCATTTTTGGTGAGAGAAGCAGAGAACCTTCCACTGAACCCACCATTTTCACTCATTGCCACTAATAAAGAGAGAATCTTACAATACATTTACACATTACAGTCTCGTAAGAAATCTTCGTTGGAGTCCTCTTCAAATAAGCTACTTTCACTTACAATAAAGTAGATGTAACGAGGGTTGTTATATAACTAACTATCATTGCCATGTAAAGGGGACTTTCCTTTGCTGCATGATTTTATGTATATAATGATAATTCTTTGACATGGGAATTTGTAAATATTGTATAGCTCATAGTTCTATACAATTTTGAAAACACTATCACCAATGAATTGAAATTTCTTGTGGAAAATTATATTTAGATTTCACTTAGAAAAATTTCCTTCTTGCAAATCTGATGAACGAGTTGTTTTAAAATTATTTCAAAAATATGATGAGCAGGTTTTTTTAAAGAAAATTGTTTTATTAGTGTAATAAATCATGTCTAGCTTCTTTGTCTTTGTTCCACACCACAAACTTTCTATAATTGGTTTCTTAACGTACAAAATGCAAAAGGAAGAAATAGTTGGTAGAGGAAATAGAGCCAGCTTAGTAACCACAAGCAATTTAAATTTAGGCTTAATACCCTATTTTGTCTTCAGTTTCGCTCGACAATGTCAAATTAGTCCATCCTTTAAAAAGTGCGTCAATTACGTCCTTACCAATGAAATCCCTGTTAAATCCGTACAAACGGCGTTAATTATTTTTCTCTCTCTTCTATTAACGCCGTTTGTACTGATTTAACGGAAGGGATTTCATTGATATAAATTTTATTAAGTAAGGACGTAATTGACACACGTTTTAAAGGATGGACTAATTTGACATTGTCGAGCGAAACTGGGAACAAAATAGGTATTAAGCCTTAAATTTATTATATCGATATCACAGGTTTTCATTTCAACATAGAATTTGATGAAAAACTATTACGAAATGTACTGATAACAAGATGGAAAATTAAGCTTGAGAATTTAGTAACATCTTTGAGGAGCAAACAAGCTTCGAAGTCTAAAACGGGAAAAAGAAAATCACTTCAGTCACATTCAGAGTAATGCATCTACCACATTGACATGCAGGCATTCTGAAAACATTATGGTTAAATATGAGCAGATTTTAAAGAAAAATATAGTTCATAGATAGATGCAAAACAATTCAAGTAAAACTGGAAAGTGGCTGAATGGAGGATCATAAATCACTTAATGTTCAGGCTCAAACAATACTTAATGTTTCTTATCTAAAGTCTATTTAGCGGAGTTTAACAACATTAACACCAGTCCAAGATAGTAAAAGAGCGTACACAGTAATTTAATATGGTACACACATCTACACGACAAGTTTCGTGAGCTGCAGAATTAGAAATAAACATTATAGGTACACCGTTGAGGGGGATTAAGAAATGATATGCAAAAACCAAAGGTTGCCTTTATGTTATTGCATGCATGCATGTATCAAACCTCAAGTCGAAGTATCCCCTTCCAAACGTATTCTCTTACAACATTTCTCTTCACCTTGATTGCTCGCTCCAACCCTATTTTCCTTGGCCTCCATGGAACATCTTTTGTAGGGTTTAAAGCCTGTTCGACGAGTCTTAAGCTTTCCTTGTCCAAGCCCTAAGGTTAACAGTCCCACATTATTTTCTACAAATGGCGAATTTTTCTGCATTGGTTTATAGTTAGAACTGCATTTCTTGCTTTCAAGGTCTTCATTTCTGTCATCTATGGTTTGCTGGTTATCATTGGTGATGCCCATTTGGTCCTTATTCGTTAAAGCATGAGGAGGTGAAAAGCTTTGAGGTAACACCTCTCTGGAGAACAAAGCCTGAAAGGCTAGTTTCCCCTGAAAACAAGTAGCATGAGAAGAGTTGCAACATATAAAAATATTGTATCAAGATTTCATTAAGGTAAACTGGGATACCTCTTCAGAGACCTCTTTCCAAGAATCGGTAAGGTTGCAAATGCTTCTACGACGATTACTAAACTCAATGGCTAAATGGTTAGCATCGGGAGTTTCAGGCTCTTCCTTCCCTTTCTCATCCTTCCCTAGTGCATCAGTTTCCACATCGCTGCTTGAGGCTGTGTTGGAACCACACGAGGAACGGTCAACCTGTTTTCTGCCTTTCGTTTTGTTGGAATCAAGGTGCTCAGAAATCATTTCGTTCGTCTCATGATCGGTAGCCTTTGGTGAAGTATTTAACTTGACATCTCCACTCTCAGAATCTGATGAAATGACAGCTAGTGATTTTGAAGCTGAATGTTGAGCTTGAGGAGCTTCCGAGTATTCTGGATGCATCATCTGATCATGCAGAGGAGGATTTTGTAGAGTACTCTTTTCTTGTTCTGCCTTTAGAGATGGTGTTTCAGAAGTATTCATTGATGGGACTGCAGTCACAGATGCAGGAGGACAAGCAAAAACAGTATGAAGAGGAGCACACAAAGGAAGCAGTCCATGAGTTGCCCACCACGCAGTTGCAGCAGCTACAGTAGCAGCTGCAATAGCTGCAACGCTTGGAGGGGAACCAATATGTCTAGATGTGAAACCTCCTTGAGAGCACCTAGGAGAATCTGCTGAAGTCTCTGGATTTGCATAGGGCCAAAATGTAGCAGCGAAACTTGCTGCAGCATGGGCTGCTGGGTTTTGCAGCAAGGTAGAGACAATAAGATTAGAAAATGTGGAAGACATGTGAAGAAATGATTGGTAATCGTCCTGGTTGTGTTGGGTGAAGGGAGGATACGGAAGAAATGATTGATGAGCAGAAGATTGTGCTGTGTTATTTTGACTTTCTCTTGTGTTCGATGGAGCTGAATTGGTGAAAAGATTTGGTTGCCCATTAGCCCCTCCTATTGGCTGAAACATGCAGTCACGAAACAGCATATCTTGTGATGGATTTTGAGTACATGTTCCAAGGTTCCCGTCAACAACGTGCACAGTTACATGTCTAGGGTAATTCTGATTATTGCCTTGCATTCCTTCTATTGTTAATGCACTATCGAGACCATCTGTTTTCTCATTTTGAACCAATTTCATTTGTAAAGCATCAGAATTCTCTATCGTGGAGTTTTTACTAGTTCCATTTGCCTGTTTTCCACCATTGATCTCCAAATTCCCATTTTCAAGTTCAACAGTCAGAAATGATTCAGTTTTGTCATCTGGAGTTATTACCTCTTTCACTGAAGTTGTAGTCTCCTTGAATACGGATGAATTTCCCAGCGGCACTGACATAGATATTGAACTCCTGTTTGCTGAAGATAGAGAGGAACATGGCACCTCCTGGATAACTGTAAATACTTTTGAACAGTTCTCATCCTTATTTTCCTTTACTGTTGTTAGCCCCTCGTCTAAATCATAAATCTAATAGAATAAGGAAAAGGCGGAATTATGTACTGACAAAGGAAGCTGGAAAAAAATGTGTGAAATTGAAATCTATATATAAAAAAATATTAACCTCCGGAACTGGTTCTTTTTCCAAGTCCAGTGCTTGGTTGTCATGTGAAAATTCGACTAAATTGATCTTTCCATCCTTTGCTCCACTATGTAATGTTGCGGTACCAATCCTGGTCTTCCGAGGATAAGGATTGCTTGGTTTTCTTTTGGGCCGTGGAGGGGGAATATCTATATCAAGAGCTTGTCCAATTGGAACACCCTTTACAAGGGCTTCTTTCTCCAACTGGAAGTAAAAGTCCAAATGGTATTCTCAGCAAGTGAAGTTTCATATAAACCATTAAAAGCATTTACTGGAGTATGATAGCGTTTCTTGTAAGGAATTTTCAAAATACTATTTGGATAATAGAAATAGCTGTAACGCATCAGTGTATTCAAGCACGATAGCTTAGAGAGGAAAGCATCCAGAAATATTGTTCAACGAAGTTGAGGACAAAAAATCAGCTGTGGATGTAATCATGATGCATATGGATTTGATGGGCTGCAAACTGATTATAGTTTAAATAAAAAGATGTATGTCAACATTACTGTAATCCAAACATGTAGGAAGCTGTCGGCATTACAAAATCATAGCCCTATGAAAGTCCATGGTGGTAACAGTTCCCAAAATTTGCAGAAGGCAGCACTGTTAACTTGTGCGCGAACAGAGCTTGACAAGTTTAGCTTGAATACTAACTTGAGATCTTAAAAACTTATTTCCATTTTCAAAGAAATTAATTTCCTATATTCAAAATCAAAGTTCTTTTCTATTATGATGGTGGTTAGAACTCCAGAGGAATTAGAGCCTTGGTGGTTCTTAAACCACTACAAAATATCTGCATAGGAAGTTGGAGATGGTGTCAAACCATCTATATACGAAATTTCTGTTTCGAATTCCAAGATAAATAAATAGTTCTACCTCTGGTTTAACAACAGTGGCCCTGGCTAATGAGACCAAAACCCAGTCCCAAGGGGATGGTACAACCAATACGCTTCCTTCCCTTTTCCTTCACTATTTGCTTTACGTTCATACTTAAAGTTCCATATTTATTTTTCTTTTCCTTTGATTTTTAACGTTTTTCTATGGGATATATAATCTCTTTTCACTAATTTTTTTAGCAACTGGTGTATAGGATGATAACTGACACCAGATGTGAGTCCACTTCCCTCGAAAGCCCTCTAACTATTCTCATGCATGCCTTGCCAAACGAGAAATTGTTATCAAAGCCTATATCCCCACCTTGAGGTTGGATTTCATAGATGCCTAATCCTGTAAAATTAACGTTCCAGATGTCCTATCCCGAAGATATTATGGGAGTTTTAAGACTCATGATCCACATCAGTTAGGTAATGGTCAAAGACAAGTATTCTTCATAAGTGATTTGAGTAATCCGCACTTCTTCAGTTAGGCCTAGTTCATTATTCATAAAACAAAATCTAATGCACTTTATTTATCTATTGTAAAGTATGAAGAATAGGCTTGAATTGGCTAACGAAAGAGGCTGTGTGTTTCTCACGTAGCACATAAATATGCATATTAATGGCCTCTCTTGTCACACATAAACTGATCACTCTTGTTTCTGTGGTGATCCACTATACTACCAGAGGACAGCAATGTATCTGTGAAAGTAATATTCTATAAAATTATGTTTAAGCATTGGACTGGTTCTTTCGGCCATACAAAAAGGCATTTGAAGAAGTTTCTCTGTTCGAATGAAATTTATAGATTTCAGATTAGGTACAACAATATTTATTTATAGACCTGTTATCGGGCCATTAAAGTACACATTTCTTCGGCATCAATCGGCTCTTCCCTTTCTTTAAAAGTGTGTGTGCATATTCCATTAATCTTTATATGCTTTAACATTTTTTCAGGAGGTAAAATTCTCTTTTTCCATTTATCACTTCTGCACATAAACATGTTTTATTCATAATATGATGTCAAAGCTTGGTTTTGTTAATTCTTGAACCCCACAAATAAGCATTCAAATTAAGCATTCTGGTTTTATTTATCGGGATTGAGCTGTATAATGGTAATTAAATATGATGTCAAAGCTTGGTTTTGTTAATTCTTGAGCCCCACAAATAAGCATTCAAATTAAGCTTTCTGGTTTTCTTTATTGGGGTTGAGCTCATATATGAATTTGTACTAA